TGTGTAAATAATTTGATGTTATTTCTTTTGGAGAGGAGTTTTGTTTGCTTATGCTAGGTACGTGAGAGTGCTCACAATACAACAAATATTTATTGAGCATTGTTGAAGTGATAGGAATATACTCATAAACAAGAAACAGCTTCTGCTCTTACAAGTATTTCTCTGAATAAGCAATCGGACTCATTTAAATAGGCCTTCCAGTCACTCAGGAAAGAGGATGCTCTAAAAGACTACACTGAAGCAGTTACTAATTCATGATAAAATAAAACTATCACCCATTTTGATATTATAAATTTGAATACTTGAAATTCACAGACAACCTGTAGGGACTCAAATGTTTATGCCTAAGTGGAGAAATCAAAGAACACAATTTTTCAAATTTAACATAGTATCTAAAGTAGCCTTCACATGCTAGAGGTTGAAGCTTCTATTAATAATATAGCTGAGAGGCTGATTATCTAAGGAGGAATTGGTCTCTCTGCTGTGTTGATAAGGGAGCTCTGGTGGCTTAGCAATTAAGGAGTTGCTTTGCCAACCCAAAGACAAGTGGTTCAAATCCATCAGCTGCTCCCTGGAGAAAGATGGACAATCTCCTGCCATGCAATTTACCACTTCTGAAAACTTGCTGGAGGGTCAGCTATGAGAAAGTTCTGAGTGGTTGGTACATAACAACAATAACGAGCTATTGTTGATAGGTGCTCTAACCTCCAGCTTGTGAGATCGAAATCTAAGCTGTGTAGTATAAATAAGCCATAGAAACTAACTTCATTATGGTAACCAACACTTAACATTCTGGACTGGCTCTTAGAACTTCCCATCCTTAGTCATTTCCAGGTGTTGCCTTATGCTTGGACAGTCTTCTGGAAGAGATGCAAACACAGACACACACATACACTCCATTCCCCATCCCCCACTGCTGGAAAAAGATATTTAACAGGAAAGCTGATTGAGGAGATGTGAGACCAACTAGAAAAATTAAATGTATTTCTTCAACGAGATGGAAAAGGCAACCTCCAATTTCATTTGGAGTGGAAAGAGACCCGAAATAAGCAAAGCACTCCTTCAAAAGAGAAACAAGGTAGGAGGCATCTCACTCCCTGATTTCAAATCCTACTACACTGCCATGGTGGTCAAGACAGCGTGGTACTGGTACAATGACAGATACATAGAGAAATGGAATAGAATTGAGAATCCAGAAATCAGCCCATCTACCTATGGTCAACTGATTTTTGACAAGGAGATGGAATCAGTTAAGTGGGGAAATGACAGCCTTTTTAACAAATGGTGTTGGCAAAATTGGGAAACTATCTGCAGAAAACTGAAGAAAACCCACATCTCATGACATACACAAAAACCAACTCAAAGTGGATCAAGGACCTAAGACTAAAACCAAGGACTGTAAACTTTACCAGAGAAAATCTTGAAAGAACTATAGAAGCCCTAATCCACAACATGAATAGTCTTCCAAGCATCCTGAAAAAACGACAACCAAGAAAGGATAACATAGATGAATGGGACCGTCTAAGAATCAAATCCCTGTGTACTTCCAAACACTTCTCCAAAAGGGAAAAAGAAAAGCCACAGACTGGCGAAAAAAATATTTGGTTGCATTGGGAAAGACAGTTGTCAGGGACCTCTCCAGAGTACTGAAGAGCAACAGCGTCAGTCTGGAGACTAAGGTGTGCTTGATACAGGCTGTAGTCTTCACAATTGCTTGCTATGCATCGGAGAGCTGGACAATGACTGGGGATGATAGAAAGATAATTGATGCCTTTACGCTGTGGTGCTGGAGAAGAGTGTTGAATATACCATGGACTGCTAGGAGAACAAACAAGTTTGTCTTGGAGAAGGTGAAACCAGGTTGCTCCTCAGAGGCAAGAATTTTGAAGCTTCATCTGACATATTTTGGACATGTTATAAGGAGGGACTGGTCCATGGAGAGGTACATCATGTTTGGGAGGGTGGAGGGACAGTGTAAGAGAGGAAGACCCCTGCTGAAATGGATCGATTCAGTAACAGAGGCAATAGAGGTAGGTGTGCCAGACAGAGACAATATTAGGTTGGCACAGGATAGAGCAGGGTTTAAGGCTCTTGTACATAGGGTTGCGATGAGTCACAAGTGACTTGGCGGCATATAACAACAACAATGACATGTCTGATAAGGGATATATATCTAGAATTTATAGAATACTGAAGCACCACAACAAGATAAAGGTAAATAACCCAACTGCAAAATGGGCACAGAATATGAACAGACACTTCACCAAAGAAGACAAAAAACGATGCCAAACAAACATTTTGAAGAAATGTTCAAAATCCCTAGCTCCAGGAGAGAAGCAAATCAACACAACTATGAAATACCAGCTCACCTCAGTAAGAATAGCAAAATTTAACAGAGCAGCAAGCAACAAATGTTGGCAAGGTTGTGGAGAAACTGGAACCCTTATTCACTGTTGGTGGGAGTGTAAAATGGTACAACCACTCTGGAAGGCAATATTGCACTTTCTGAAAAAGCTGGAAATAGAAATACCATTTGACCCAGCAATTACACTACTGGGAATATACCCTAAGGAAACCAGAACTGCAATTCAAGCATATATATGCACACCCATGTTTAGTGCTGCTTTATAGCAAAGAGTTGGAAACCACCCAAGTGCCCATCAATAAATGAATGGATAGAGAAGCTGTGGTATATTCACATATATACAATGAAATACTACGCAGCACTGAAAAACAAAAGCTCTTGAAATATTATACAAAATGAGTGACCCTGGAGGACATTATGCTGAGTGAAATATCTCAGTCACAAAAGGACAGAACAGGACAGACATTGGGTTAGAGCAAAACTAAGAAGAGAAGGGATAAATGATGTACACTGCATTGAAACTGATGAGGGAAAGAACTGTTTAAAAGGAATATATGATTAGGTATTATTTCCATGACAAGAGTCTAGAATAAGAGCTGCATAGGAAAGTGGGGGGGGGGGGCGGAAGGGGAGACTGTATAACAATGAAAGAATTTTTTTTCTATTTTCAAAGAGAAAAGCAAACTGGGGAGAGGGGTGATCATGGAGGAAAATGTGCTACATTGAATGAATGAAAAATACTTTTTTAAATAAAAAAATATGTTATTAGTATGTTTTCTGACATTGTAACTTCTTGAATACTAGAGATATATAAGATACCAAATTTGGTCTGAATACATAAGACACCAAAACCTTTGGCTTCCTTGTAGCAGGTCCCCTTTCCATAGGGACTTTGCTTTTAGACCCCCCTTGTTCCTGGTTGGTTAAATTGTCTGTTGTATTCACTTCAGTATCTATTGCCTGAATACCGTATCTGTCAAAATGGCCACTTTCTATAAGGGGGACATAGACTGTACAAATTATTTCTCATAAATAACATTTATATCAGAGTTAACTGGACTGAGGGGATGGCATTGCTCTGCTTGAAAAACATGAATGGAACCTGTCAGCTAAAACGTAGTAACTGAGAAGAGAATTAGACCTCAGATTTTCCCCAAAGAAATGCCTGCCTGCATATGCTTCAGAATAACTCATCTAAACAATTACTAAAAAAGAATAACTCGAGTCTTACATCAATACTGAGCATTTGATGAACTAAATGTTGGTATGATTTTCTCCGTTTGTTTTTACCTATCTGCATTAAGACGGTAAGTATCCTTGGTTTCCATCATGTCTCCTTCCTTAGATCTTGATCATGACTCTTTATTTGGGTTGTCCACCATTGTCAGAATTCAGACAAGTTATCATACAAGTGAACAAATAATATTTGCACTCTCACATTAAGGAAGATGGAAAGGAAAATTAAATTAAATGTGGTCTCTGGCTCTAAGAATTCAGTCTAACAGATGAAAAGATACAAATAGGAGTAATTGATACTACATTAAAGCCGTGCTATTGGGTAAGTACTGCAATAAAAGCCTAATTGAATCCAAAACTGATCTGGTTTAAAAGAGTTTAAAAGAGTAGATGCCCCACAGAGGACTGCGTTACCAGATTCTTTCCAAACAGGACGAGCTATATAATTTGTAAAAAATTAAAACGTAGAGTTCATGATTGAAAAATTTAAGACTTTAAAGGCAGTAATAACATAGCATAGCATTAAACTGAACGTGGGGGAAATGTCTCAAATCCATGAAACCAGCCATGTCTCCAACTACAGTTAATTATGAATCTGAAAAAAAGAGGCAAATTTCAAGGAGTCCAGAGGAGGACATTTTCTTCGAAGTACTTCACAGGGAAGTAAACTCACTCAAAGGAAAGAAAATAATCTAGTCTTTCCCACATTAGCAAATGAGATGGGAGTGTAAAATAAAGAAAGGGTATAGTTGGCAAAGACAATCTCACAAATATTGTACAGTGGAATAAGGTAAGACAGCGGCCACTGATATAATAAAAGCAGACAGTGACTTACAGAGCTCACCATACCAGAATTCTAAGCATGTTATATATTTTTATGCATCAAATTCTAAAAACAGTCCTGGAATATAGATGCTATTATTTCCCTATCCTAAAGATAAAGAAATTTACCTTAAAGGGGTGGAGCAATTGTCCTATGTAAAAGAAATTATTTTCTCACTGTAAATAAATGGCAAAACCAAGATTAAATGTTCCAGGTGGTTGTTCTTAGCCATTATTTATGCCAACAGCCACCCCAAAATTACCCAGCAATCAAATCCATTGCCATTGAGTTGATTCTGATTTATAGGGACTCTGCAGGAAACAGTCACATCTTTCTCCCTCATAGTGGGCTTGAATCACCAACCTTTCATTTTGCTGCGAAGTGCTTTGACCGCCAAAGCACCAGGAGTCCTTCTATTTATGCTATCTCATAAAAAGAAAGACTTCTAAAAGGAAGGCGATTTCCCCAGTATGTTCATTAATCATTCATTAATATCATAAGTTTGAGTTAACTGGGATATATTGTGTTGTGTGCATGTTTTTAATTTTTTTCTTTTTTTGCATTTCATATTCATAGTTTAACAGCACGCGTTCGCCCTCCCCCACTGAGTGTTGCCACATGACCCCATGGAGTAGAAAGGTATTGGCTCTGAGAACATTCCTTCACAGCCCTTTCCCACTCTTTTCACACACTTTCACTTTCTTCTAACTTTACTGTTTCTAACGGTGTTTTCTTTTAAATCAACTTAAAGAGTGATGTTTTCCTAATATGCATTAAATGAAGTATCCTTTAGACAACCATGCCTTTGGATTTCCTCTTCAGTGACTGTCCACCTCCCCCTCCAACCCCACCCCCTCTCCTTTCCTAAAATGCAATTAAGGCTGTGCTCAAGCTGGGCATCCTTTAATGCTGCCCCTGGGCATTGTAGTTTCTAGTAAAGAAATATATTTATCAGAACTATAAATAAAATCAAGTCAAACAAACAAAAAAAAAAGGAGGGAGAACAGGATTCTCTGGCAGCCATTAAATAAAAGTGCTTTTGGCTGCTTTTTGTGGGTGGTCAGGTCACTATTTCTTTGTTTCACAGTCCATTGTTATTCAAGGAAGGAATCACCTACAAAATGTGGCTTCTGGTGGGGGGAGTTCCACTCCAGCTCTGGCTCGCTTCCACACTGGCTCATGGTTTCTCTCTCTCTCTCTCTCTCTCTCTTGCATGCACCAAACTTTTTTTTTCTTTTTGGAAGTTACCTAGGAAACAAAGTCTTTTGTGCTCGAACTTTATTTGAGCTATTCGCTTTGCTGGGAATCTGCACAAAAGCTGAAGAGAGAAAGAAGTTTGCAATGTTTTGCTAAAATCGTTCATGGCGAACACATTTTTCTCAAGGGGGGGATCATGTCCTCTTGGGTGTCTTGGGGGGCTGCGCAGAAACCTCTGACAAGGTAAGCAAATGCTTTGGGTTAGTTTAGTCAAGTGCCTCTGGAATCAGCTTTTTAAAGGGACTTGAGAACAGTTAATTTGACAATTTGTGGAATCTTCTGAAGCAGCAGAGCGTGATGTTGCCAAATGTAAGGAAGAGAAATGAACAAGAGATGAGCCTGATTTTAATAAAGCATATTACTAGAAACTTTACTGGGAGAAGAGAGAAAAGCATTCATTTTCTGCAAATGTTCACCTTCCTCTAAAATGTTTAAGCAAATGAAACTAGAATCAGTGGTGAAAACTGGGTCTTTTACAAATCTTATTTAGAAGCCCAACCTTGAAATAAAACCCGGGATGGAGTTTTTTTAAAATAATCTGGGCTAGGAGCCCAACTCCGAAATAAAAGTTAGACAGCATTAAAATTTATCAAAGATTTGGGCTGAGAATTCTCAAGTGTCATATAGAAATGGAAGACCCTAACTGCCCAGCTGAGAGCAAACCCAAAAGAAAATAACCTAATTTCCAAATATGAAAACAAAGTACACTTGAATCTTTCCCCCAGTAACAGCATTTGTATTTTCCACGAGAGTTGGAAGGGAAAATTCCTCGCTTTTGCTTTTCTGCATTTATCACTGAAATGGGTTTTTGAAGTATTACTCTCTATTGCAGTTAACTCCTTGTGATTTTAATCTGGGCCCTCTCCTTTGGTGGGCTTGTCCTTCAGGCCCTAAATTCTGCAGTGTCTCCTGACTCCGGGTTTTCCACCGTGCTCTCGGAACTTTTCCAGGGGCATCTAAATCATCTTCTTCCTTTGATCCTAGTCACCTGGAGCTTACAGGATTCTGGATAGGAATTTATAGCCAGATAGATATCCGGACTATAGACTTTAGTTTCTCTGGATTCAAGAGTCACATTTCTTTTCACTCTGAAGTTGAGGGGTACCTTGTCTCTCTTCATTGACTTAACCTAAGAGGCATTAATTGTTCTTTTAAGCATATTTTCTCTTTGTCTTTGTATCACTTAACTATTGAAATAATACTTTCAATTAGTTGTGTGTACTATTTCAGAAATTCTTCCTTTGTCCTGAAAGCTTACTTCTGACTTCACTTTTCTTAACTGTGGAACTCCTTATATGTGTGCTAACTTATAAACTCTGATGGCTGAGTCTGACTATGTTTCATTTGCAGTCCCATCCCCCGGAGGATGAAGATACAGATGTCATGTTAGGGCAGCGGCCGAAAAATCCAATACACAATATTCCCTCAACACTGGACAAGCAGACCAACTGGAGCAAAGCCCTACCTCTCCCCACGCCAGAGGAGAAAATGAAACAAGATGCCCAAGTGATTTCTTCTTGCATTATCCCCATCAATGTCACTGGTACTTTTTTTTTTCTTTTCTTTTCTTAGGGTCAGTTGGAATAGAATATTAAAAATATTCAAAGCTTGTGTTGCCGGGAATGCCATTAGGAGTTAAGAATGCCACTTAAAAGAGGAGATCTGAGTGCAGCAATGAATGAATGGAAATCCAAAACCTCTGTAAATGTCTATTAAAATTAATAATAAAAAAAAGAGGAGATCTGGCTATAAGGTCCCTAGCGTGTTGCACTGTTAACCAAGAACGCCACTTAATAAACAAGTAATAAGCTTGTTGATCAAAATACAACCCAGAAGATGTTTAATATGCTTTTGTTAGGTTTTTAACATAAATTTACCTTATCTTGTGCTGTGCCCGTTGTTATTATAGATGATAGTTTCTTTACGAATAGAGAATACCAAATAGCTCTTTGGCCAGAGCTGAAATAAGGGAGGAGGCAGTGATTAGGCACTGCAAGAAAGAAACAGTAAGCCCTGGTTTCTAAAACTGCACGTTATGGTGCAAAATTGGCCTTCATGCTTCCTTGGATGAAGGTTGTTGTTGTGTACTTTCCAGTCAGAATCGACTCTTCACTGACCCTCTAGTGGGTTTTCAGAGGCAGTTAATTACATGGAAGAAGACTGCCCAACTTTCTCCCACAGAGAAGCTAGTGGCCTGGAACTGCATGCCTTTGGGATTGCAGAGCAGCTTCTTACCACTAGGCCACCAGAACAGACTTTTTAAAAAAGACCATTTAGTCTTCTGTATTTATGTTAGGGATTTTTGACCCAAACAATAGATGAAGACTGGTTTGTATTGTAAAACAAGCAGGTCTAGCTGCTTTCACTGTCTGCTTTCCTCCTCCTGGGTAAGGATAGCTTGAGTAACTAGTCTGGTTAGAATAGAAACCTGTCTGAATTTTTCATTAAATTTGTTGATAGCAATTTTAAATCCAAAATTGGATCTGTCAGACAGTGTTCTAAAACATTCTAAGTTTCAAAGAGAAATTAAATTATCTCTGGGGCTTTATTTGCACATCTCTAATAACGAAACTATTTGAACATTGACATTTTCAGAACAGCTATATTTTGACTCTTTTTCATTCTGATCCTCTGTGACTGTACATATTTCTCAAGATGCATTTTGGTCATGGCTATTAACCCCACTGAAATGTCTTTTACAGAAAGAGGGGAACAAATGGTGACTAGGTAGCTGGGACAGATATTATTTTCTTCCTGAAAACAATGAAAGTTGAAAGAGAGCTATCTCTGATAGCATATTGGGTAACGGAGTTGCCCTGCCAACCCAAAGACAGGCGGCTCAAATCTACCAGCTATTCCATTAGAGAAAGATGTAGGCCTCCTCCTGTGCAATTTGCAGCTTCTGAAAACCTGTTGGAGGGGTGGCCAGGGTCAGTTCTGATGACAGTGAATTTTTTGAGTGAGCTGATGGTCATGAACTAGGAGTTAATTTTCTTGGCCTATTCCACTTGAAGGATAATTTATCTTAAGGATGTACATTTATCTAAATTAGATGTATTAGGGATGTTTAGCTGCCAAATGTAATCATTTTGGCACCTTCTTAAACTAATTTTCAGCTCTGAGGATATCTGATGATTATTAGCAGCACTATAATATGTTTTCCAATGTAGTACTATGGTTATAAGCAACCCCACAATGGCTAAGCATAATGGTTAAGCACTGAGCTGCAAACAGAAAGGCTGGCAGTTCCAACCCACCAGCCAGTCTGAGGAAAAAAAGTGGCAGCAGCTTCTATAAAGACTAACAGTTTAAACTTACATAAACAGTCAAGAAAAGGCAAATATACAGAGCTCACAGTTTATTAGTTGTAATCAGTGGTAGCAGAGACATAGTGATGGAAAAACTCACTGATTACGGGTGGAGTAGTACAGCCAACTACTGTAATTGCTGTCAATAATGTGTCCACTTATAAAAAGTTGAATTGGCAAAGTTATGTGGTGATATACCTCTCTCTCTATCTATCTATCTATCTATCTATATAAAACAACAACAAAAGAGTAGTTGGTGAGAGTGCTACCATACAAAGTTTAAGGTCACAGTTTCATGGGACATCCCAGTTAACTGGCCTAATGTGCTTAGTGCTTCTGTTCTGCCTCCTGTTGTTGTTGTTATGTGCCGTCGAGTCGCCTGCGACTCATAGCGACCCTGTGTACAACAGCCCTAAACTCTGCTCTGTCCTGTGCCAATCGCACTGTCTCTGACACTCCCATCCTGATTATCCCAGTCACTGAATCAATCCACCTCATAGTGCCTATGGTCTTAAAAACTTGGAAGCAGTCATCCAAGGCACAAAAGTTAGTCTCTGTTCCCCTCGAGCAACAGAAGGAGAGTCATGACTGGGAAGAGGATGTGGAAGGTGTGGCTAATGGCCTCCTTTGCCATGAGACCAGAAGAACTGAATGGTGCCCAGCTACATTATTGCCCATTCTGATAAAAAATCCCATAGAAGAATCCTGGTCAAAAAGAGAGAAGTGAAGAACAGAAATTCAAATTCTCATGGACTCTAGACTTCCTGTTGATGGTGTTGTATACCATAGAGTCGGAACCAACCCATAGCTGACCCTCTGGAGGGGTTTCAGAGGCAATTAATTGCATGGGAGGAGATTGCCTACCATTCTCCCGTGGAGCAGCTGGTGGCCTTGAACGGTGTGCCTTCAGAATTGCAGTGCAGCTTATTGTCACTAGGCCATCAGAGCTCCCTGGACTTCCTAGAGTCATAAAAAAAAAAGTATGGACATCTGAGACCAAGGCCTGAGATAATCTCCAGCCTTAAACTAAAAATATGCCCTGAAATAATCTGAAAATGGAACAGTGATTAATCTTAAAAAAAAAGTCTGTCGAGCATTATGCACTTTTTAATAACTAGCACCCAACTGACTGCAGCAACTTGAAAGATTACAGAGCAGCTGGTGGATTCAAACCACTGATCTCTCACATAGCAGCCCACCCGGTAACATGCACTGTTACCAGGTCTCTTTTTAAGATTAGAATGAAGGATTGTCATTTTTTGTTAGAATTAAGAAATGAAAATGCTATTAGTGCTGCCTCTGTGATGATGATGTAATATATTCATCATGTGGTATGGCATACAGATTTTCCAGAGTAAGTTCTAGAAACTGTTGGCACTGTGATCCTAAGTCACACTCAAATGGCTTCATTCTATAGCTGAACTAAGATTTAACATGCCTTCTTGTCCTACACTTAACAATCAGGATAAATGATGAGGTGACTGATTACATGACTTCCTGAAGCAAAGCTCATTGAACAGTGCACTGCATGCCTGTGCCAGACAGGAGCCAGGGTCCTCAACTCCCCTCATCGTTCTGGTTTTGCTGGGACTGCATGTGATATCATTACTGTGGTATTGAAAAGTCCAACTAACAGGCACTGTAGTTTGTCCCCTGTGTTTACAAAAATCAGATGGGAATCCCAGATTTACAGTAGCTACAGAGGATGGATCCACTTAAATAGAGGATTGGAGACTGCTGTGCATCTTAAATTTTTTGGCAATTTTGCAACTGTATTTGATAATCAGCTATTAGTTTTCATCCACACTGACTGTAGATTTTTGAACGTGTAACAGGTCCAGAGGTGGCCAGTGTATACAGCTTATTTGGTAAATCTTTGCCCTTATTACATTTTCTGGACAACTGTCTGAAGATGCAGTGTAGGACATCCCTTGGCCTAGCTGGCTTTGTGGAGCCTGATGTCAGTGTGAACATCTGGTGTTCCCATCTCCTTCTTGGCAAACTTCCATATCTCTTTGAGTGCCCAAGAAGTACGATTCTTATAGCCCATTCCATGAGAAGGTTGATGGTGGGCTTTCTGGTCACCACCTTGTTGACAGCAGAATAGCCCTTCTCAGCATCCTTCTCTGGTGGGGGTCAGAGTGCCAGAACCAGACTGAAAAGGACCATCTTTCATCTTATATGGACAAGATACCTGATACTCAGCCAAAAAAATTTTACCCAATTTAGTCAGAAACAGTTATATTCTGATTTAAAACAAACAAACAAACAAACAAACAAACAAACAAACAAACCACAATAGGGGAGCTCTGGTGGCCTAGTGGCAAGGAGCTGCAACTACAATCCCAGAGGCGCACGGCTCGAATCCACCAGATGCTCTGCCGGGGAAGGAGGGACAGTCTCCTCCTGTACCAGTCAGATCTGATTTGACGATACATTCACACAAAAATAATAAAATAAAAATTTTTTAAACAAAGAAAAAGAAAAAAACACACACAAAAGTAATAAAAGCTCTAGGCTGGTGAATGTCCTCACAAATCAGGGGTGTGCATGTGTGTGTGTGTGTGTGTGTGTGTGTGTGTGTGTGTGTGTATGCATGTATGTATGTGTGTGTACGAGCATGTATGTTTGGGGTGAAAGAAAAGGTTTAGGCACAGGAGTTGCGGGGGGAAAACTACACAAAGAGGCTTTTAATGAAGAAATGGGTCAGGTTATATTAATGGAACTAATTCAGGTTAATATCTTGGCTGCTGATCTACTCTGTAAAGGTATCAGCTTCCAAGAGCTCAGAAATAGACCAGCAAACAGTAGTAACGAAAAGTTTTAAGTATGCATAGAGCCATTTTTGTGTATGAAAGTGCTTGTTTGATGCTATTTTCCTTTTCTCTTTCTTTTGATTTCCCTTTGATTGTTACTTTGGGCAGGGAAAGCTGTTGCATACAGCTGCATTTAGAAGTGAAGCTGAATGCACTGTAGCATCACTTATATGAAAGCTCTGGCTTTCATTGGAAATTACCCCTTTATATGTGCTCATGGGCTTAATCCAAACTCTTCCCTTACTACCAATCAATAAATATCACCGTGTTCCAAGAAAATGAAAACTTTTTTTTGCAATTTCTAAAGGCTAATGAGACCTATTTGTGGGTTGCAGGAGTTGGTTTTGACAGAGAGGCTAGCATCCGCTGTTCTCTTGTTCACTCACAATCCGTACTACAGAGGAGACGCAAATTGAGGAGGAGGAAAACCATCTCCGGTATTCCCAGGAGAGTCCAACAGGAAATAGGTGTGGTATCAAAAATGTTCATAGCCAACATTCTGTCTACACTCGGTTATAAGGAGATGAAATGAAAGCTGGCCTTCAACAAACTTCTTTAAAAGCATTCAGTGTTGTCATGTGTAGAGTTCTTAAGTGTTATGTGTTTGTTTAATATTCAGCAAGCCAGATGACCTTACATTTTAAATCTTTGCTCTCTGAGTCATTTAGACCTTATGGATTTAGGCATGTAAGGCCAGGTCCTATGGTTGAAATGTAATCTGCTAATTTTCAGAAGTTTTATTAGGGTGGAAATTATGACTAAGAAGTAGCAAGATTCCATGAAAGAATTTCTGGTTAAATTGTAACTGTATTTGGAGAGAGATACTTCTATGGCATGAAGTATTTCAAAAGGAAAATTTCTAACATATCCAATTAAATAATAGTAATATTAGACCCTTGGTGACATACTTCTGTTCAATGAATTAAAATATGTACTATATTTTTTAATACTACAGTAATATCTCTTCTAAATAAGTTTATTTTTATAATTAATTATATTATTTCATTTCCCTTTGTTACTATTACAAAATAAAAATGATGAGTGTATTGTAGTGGTTGTAAAAATACAAACTATACAGTAAAATGTGTGTGTGTGTGTGCAAACAAAAGCACTTTTCAAGACAAAGCAATTTGATAGTGAAGAGGAGAGCAAGAATTCGCCATGCTCTAAAACAATATCTCCTCTTAAAATTGTTTGTACATAGAACATTTGACTCGTAGTTACAGAGATGCACGCTGAAGTGTGTCTCAGAGTGTCTGCAAACTTGCTTCTGGATAAAATCTCTCACTATATTTTCCTTGTGCTCTCCATGAACCTAGATTCTGATGAATCGCCAGTGGCCAGGGAGAGGAATGTGATTGTGCACACAAACCCAGATCCCACCAACGCTGCCAACAGGAGGTCCGGAACCAGGGACACCGAGTGCCAAACTGAGGATATTCTTATTGCCGCCCCCTCCAGGAGGAGAATCAGGGCTCAGAGGGGTCAGAGCATTGCCGCTTCCCTTTCTCATTCTGCTGGCAACATCTCTGCGCTGGCAGACAAAGGCGACACCATGTTTACCACTACAGTGAGCAGCCGCACAAGATCTCGCAGCCTGCCCCGGGAGGGTAATAGAACCGGGGATGCTGAGCCCAAGGTTGGTGCTAAACCCTCAGCATATGAAGAGGGGGAGCCTTTCCTGGGTGACCACGAAAGAGCTCCCAATGACTGCAGTGAGGCCCCCAGCAGCCCAGGCGCGCAGGAACACCAGCCTCCTCTAGGTCTCGCCTGTTCCCAACATCTCCACAGCCCCCAGCACAAGTTAAGTGAGAGGGGGCGGTCCCGTCTGTCCAGAATGGCGGCTGACTCGGGCAGCTGTGACATCTCCTCCAACTCGGACACCTTTGGAAGCCCCATCCACTGCATCTCCACGGCTGGCGTCCTCCTCAGCAGCCACATGGACCAGAAAGACGACCACCAGTCATCCAGCGGGAACTGGAGCGGGAGCAGCTCCACGTGCCCTTCGCAAACCTCAGAGACAATCCCTCCGGCGGCATCTCCTCCCCTCACTGGCTCTTCGCACTGTGACTCGGAGTTGTCACTCAACACTGCTCCCCATGCCAATGAAGACTCCAGTGTGTTCGTGACAGAGCAGTACAATGACCATGCCGACAAAGTGAGAGGCCACCGGGCGAACTCCTTCACCTCCACAGTGGCGGATCTTCTGGATGACCCCAACAACAGCAACACGAGTGACAGTGAGTGGAACTACCTACACCATCATCACGATGCCTCCTGCCGCCAAGATTTCAGTCCCGAGCGTCCCAAGGCGGACAGTCTGGGCTGCGCAAGCTTCACGAGCATGGCCACCTATGACAGCTTCCTGGAAAAGTCCCCCTCGGACAAAGCCGACACGAGCTCTCACTTTTCGGTGGACACGGAGGGGTACTATACCTCCATGCACTTTGACTGTGGTCTCAAAAACAATAAGAGTTATGTTTGCCACTATGCAGCCTTGGGCCCTGAGAACGGACAGAGTGTTGGGGTTCCTCCTGATGTTCCAGACTGTGCCTGGCCAGACTACTTAGACCCCAGGAGGCAAGGGAGACCAAGCATCTCTTTCCGAAAACCAAAGGCGAAGCCGACCCCACCTAAGCGCAGCTCCTCGCTGAGAAAGTCTGAAGGAAATGCGGATATTCCGGAGAAGAAAGAACCAAAGATCAGCAGTGGTCAGCACCTGCCTCATAGCTCCAGGGAAATGAAGCTGCCTCTTGATTTCTCCAACACGCCTTCTCGGATGGAAAATGCCAGTCTTCCTAGCAAGCCAGAAGCTTCTTGGGTGAACCAGAGTGAACATGGGGTTAAGGAACCTCAGATGGACACTGCAGGTATCCCACCATTCAAAGATGAAGGTGCTGAATCAACTCACTATGCAGATCTCTGGCTTCTCAATGACTTGAAGACAAACGATCCTTATAGGTCTTTATCGAATTCAAGCACTGCTACGGGTACCACAGTTATTGAGTGTATCAAATCTCCAGAGAGTTCTGAATCGCAAACATCCCAGTCGGAATCAAGAGCGACCACTCCATCTCTACCTTCTGTTGACAATGAGTTCAAACTGGTTTCACCAGAGAAGCTGGCTGGCTTGGCATCTCCATCAAGTGGCTATTCAAGCCAGTCTGAAACGCCAACATCCTCTTTCCCCACTGCTTTCTTCTCTGGCCCATTGTCTCCTGGAGGTAGCAAGAGGAAACCTAAAGTCCCAGAAAGGAAATCCTCCCTCCAGCAGCCTGCTTTAAAAGATGGGACTCTATCATTGAGTAAAGACCTTGAACTTCCAATTATACCTCCTACTCATCTTGACCTAAGTGCTCTTCATAATGTCTTGAATAAACCATTCCATCACCGTCACCCACTGCATGTTTTTAGTCATAACAAGCCAAACACCTTAGGAGATACTCTGAGGTCAAATCCTCCGCCATCCCTGGCAATTACACCAACAGTCCTGAAATCTGTTAGCCTTAGGTCCATCAGTAAGTCTGAAGAAGTCAAGCAAAAGGAAGGCAACAATACAGATCTCCCCTACTTAGAGGAAAGCACTCTCCCAACAGTGGCCTTGTCTCCAGGGAGGATTCGGCCGCCTATAACTAAGAAATCGCTCTCACGTCAGTACTCCACTGAAGACACCATACTATCCTTCTTAGATGCCTCTGCAATTGAGACGGGACCAGATAAACTACCTTTGGGAAAAAACTCTACGTTTGAGGTGAAAAATCATTGTGATCCAGAAACTGCATCTTCCACTGGTAGCAGCAGCATTCTAGACTCTAATGTCTCAAAAGGCCAAATACATATGGAGAGTGAGCCAATTTCAGGAAATGCATCGAGTAAAAACTATGCCTTCTCTCCAGAAGAATTCCAGAGAGTCTCTGCTGCCCACTCAAGTGATTTTGATAGCAAAATAACACACTTTGGGGCTGGTCTCGACAGAACCCTAGAACAGGTCCAGAAGGCATCCTCTGTAGATTGGGAGGAAGCTGCCCAACCTGAACCTGGGGAGGTGACCGCATTTCAATCCAACTCACCAACTAGAGCAACAGACATAAGCAATGAACTTAAGCATCACCTTGCTGTGAGCCACCACCATGACAAAGTGCCTGGGAATATCAGCTATGAATCAGATTTATCCACTGTAAATTCAACCCCTGACAAATGTTCCGAGCAGGAAACTATTGCTTCAGGTATTTCAGCCAAAAGTGCCTCTGATAACAGCAGAGCAGAGGAGATCCAAGGAAGTGTGGATGAGGCTTCACTGAAAGGTAAGTGGTTGAGACTTTTGTCATATTGGCTATATGGCTTCAGATGCTTCCTGAGCCTTTTTCCTTATATTTCCCATAATACTTTACATACTAGAATATTGATTTTCTTTCACCAATTAAAAAAGTTGAGTGCTAGGCTTTTGTTACTGAAGAATTAAGCTTTGGTATGTAATATGGTAGTAACTTCCTCCTAAAAGTGCTTCTATTCTTATTCTAAGAATCCTCACCAAGTGATGACTCCATCATTTCACCACTCAGTGAAGACTCTCAAGCTGAAGTGGAAGGTGCATTTGTGTCTCCAAACAAACCTCGTACAACTGAGGATTTATTTGCAGTCATTCACAGGTGAGACAATATTACCAAGTCCCAAAACAACAAAAGGCACAGCCAAACTTTTGCTTCTTAAGGTGCCTCTCATCAAGTGCAAACATAAGAAAGTCACTTGTGCTTGTAAAACATCCAGCAAGACCAAGTAAAGAGGATTTTTTTTTCTAAATCAGAGCAATAGATTAACATCGAAGTTGGAAAAGAGTAACCTGTCTATATAATTAAGTAGACCTCATACGAATCTAGGAAAATTGAGGGTCATCAAAAGTTAAATGAACTATACCAAGAGTGATATCCTCGGCATGAATGAGCTGAAATGGACTGGCATTGGCCGCTATGGATCAGACAGGTCTATTATGCTGGGAATGCACAATGAAAGAAGAATGGTATTGAATTCATCACCAAAAAGAACGATAGAGAGAATGCCCCATGACTGATTAAAGAACAGACACAGTAGTAATTAGGGTGAAGAGAAAGGCATTATTTTTTAGGGGGCTATCAGAACAGTATCATGAAGGAAAAAGAAGACATGGGGCAGTGCCCAAGAGTATGCCTTAGCAGGCACATTGCCCACTCAGAGGATGGAGCCTTTGGTTTCTTTTTCTTTGTGCCAGTAGTTACTCTAATTCTATCCCCCTCACCACCACTGCCTACCTACCTTCAATCTCAGGATAATTAATATGATATTGAAGTTACATGACCAACTTATTTCCCCAAGGAACCTATTGCCAATGCTCAGAATAGTGGAAAGAACATAAGTAATGGAATCTTAGAGACCTGCATTTGAATACCCCCTCTGCTACTTTCCATGTAGTCTTCAATCAGTTAAAAGCCCCAGCCATATTCCCTTAGTGTTGGGCTGCTAACTCAAAGGCTGGCAGTTCGAATCCAGAAGAATGCTAGGCAGTCTTCTCCCCAAAAGAGCCTTGGTAAACCCAGTGGAGGGCTGCCATGTGTCAGAACTAACTCCACAGCAGAGGATGCAGTTTTTTATGTAACTCATATATTTGATTTTGATGACAAGTAACATTTTGGTATGTGGAACACGTTAGATAATAAAAGCAAATATTAGTCGGAAACTCCAACACTATTGGAGTGCTAAACATTACCATATGTAAGATAACAGCTACAGAGGTTTGAGTGATCCAAAATCGGACTTGCATCGAATTTCAAAGTCTGTATCATCTCTACCTTAGAGAGGTTTAAGTTAGAGAGCATAATGCCAAGACTTCTCAATGAAATGAGATAAATTTCAGCAAATGCTGATCATTCACTGAATGTCTGTTTACTTATCAGGTGAAACTTGACAATAGAATGATGAGTGTCTAGATTATATAGATTGGAATTTATCTGGGTTTGATAATCTTGGCTTTGCATTTGCGTGGGATTTATTTCTCTATTTATTTAAATCATTGTTGTTTGCTGTCAAGTCAGAACCAACCCATAGCTGACTCTCCTGCGGGTTTTCAGAGACAGTTTAATTGCACTGGAGGAGATTGCCTATCTTTCTCCTGTGGAGCAGCTGGTAGATTTGAACCCTGTGCCTTTGGGATGGCAGCACATCTCTTTACCACTAGACCACTAATTGTTATTTTTTTCTTGAGTGTTTATATTTTTCAAACCTTTAAGAGCTCTAGAGATGATAGTCTATGCTTTCATATTTCAAGGCTTACTGCCCAACAGACTGTCCCTAGCAGCTCTAGAAATGGTATTTGCAGTCAAAGATGGCTTGATTTCTTTTGAAAGTCATTTAAAATATTTTATATGGAAGAATGAAAACCTTAAAACACCATTGTATTAGTACCATTCCCCAAGCCTGTCAACATTCAACCCAGGACTACTCTTAGCCCATTCATCCCTCCCTCCCCTCACTGCCTCACTCCTATATAATTTGGAAGCCTATTGCAGACAACAGACCATTTCTTGGATATTTCAGAGACAGATCTTATATGAGAAAGCTACTGCCCTTCACCATCCACACTTGGAACAGGGAGTCAGAGAACATATTTTATTCCCAATAAGCTTCTCTCTAGAACTTGTAGCCTCCACATTATCAATGATCTTAAGTTTGTCCTTTCCAGAACCTAATTTATGTCCACAAGTCATCATAGTCGCAGCCTTGGTGGCACAAGGAATGCTTAGGCACTCAGCTGATGCTTCAAACCCACCAGCACCTCTGTGCAAGAGAGATGGGGCAGTTTGCATCCACAAAGATTTAGTTTTCGAAACCTTATTGTTGTTAGATGCCCCCAAGTCAAGCACAATGCATAGCCACCCTATGAATGACAGATCTGAACCCCGTCCTAGCCTGTGCAACCTTACAATCTCTGACACACTCAAGCCCACTGCTGTAGTCAAACTCTATAGGGTGGTTTTACCCCATCCTGTTGGGTCCCCATGCCTCAGAGTCAACTCAATGGCAGGGGGTTTGGGGTTTCTTGATCATCAGAGGATTTTACACAGGTCAAGTGCTACAAGGACCAGGGATGCATCTTCTTCCTCATCTCTACTGCCCCAGTGACTAGTATTCCCTCAGACAGGATTTACTAAAAATGCTACTTAACTAAGTGATTGAAAAAGACTTAGAACTTTGTTTCATAAAAATGTATATGGACTGAGATTTATTCTCTGTTATTCCCCCCACCCCCCTTTCTCCCAAAGATCCAAAAGGAAAGTCCTTGGAAGAAAAGATTCTGGGGACATGTCTGTTCGAAGCAAATCCAGAGTCTCAGCTAGCAGCAGTGGCAGCAGTGCTGGCTCCGTCACAACACCCAGCAGCAGCGCAACAACCCCAACCAGCCAAAGGTCTCCTGGGCTCATCTACCGCAATGCCAAAAAGTCCAACACGTCAAACGAAGAGTTTAAGCTGCTACTTCTCAAGAAAGGCAGCCGCTCCGATTCCAGCTACCGCATGTCTGCCACCGAGATCCTCAAGAGTCCCATCTTGCCCAAACCCCCTGGGGATCTTGCAGTGGATTCCCCTCAGGTCACTGATGAGGCCCAGCAGGGGTCACCTGGGACAGAGGCATTGTCCCCTCTCTCTCCATGCTCCCCACGAGTAAATTCAGAGGGGTTCTCCTCAAAGAACTTTGTCACCTCAGCATCGGCAAGGGTTGGGCGGTCGCGGGCACCCCCTGTAGCCAGCAGCAGCCGTTACAGCGTCCGCTGCAGGCTGTACAACACTCCCATGCAGGCTATCTCTGAAGGCGAGACGGAAAATTCAGACGGGAGCCCGCACGACGACCGCTCCTCCCAGAGCTCAACCTAGATGGCCTGGGCCAGATGGTCTGTCAGCTGTCACAGCCCCTAGTGATACAAGAATGTCAGGGGGCACAGAGGACCCAAGAGAAGGAAAACTATCATGGGGTACCATCATTGCTTGCCAATGAATTTCTAAATATATGCTGGGGAACATAAGAGGTAGTTTAGTAATTCTTTATTATTTTACATTTTTAAGTAACATACTCTCATGTTTTTTATTTACCTTAGTTTGATTGACCCAATACCATTCCTTTTGATAATGTAGAGTTCAAAAATTATCTACTTTTCACGGAACCTAGAAAAGGTTTTCCCAGAGCTGCCTATTCAGAAACGCAAACCCCTCACTGTCATGATTCTTTAAGGAGATGAAATTACTCTGGAGGTTTGGTATTTTTTTACATTAAAATGAACTAGAGCAAAATTTAGAAGAAAGAACTACACATATGTAAATACCATATTTTTGATAAAGAATGTAAATAGATTTATCAACAATGAGTGGACATGTGGCCAATTATTTACCGCACACCAACTGTTTATAGAAAACAACAAAAAAAATAGAATGTAATAATTGTATTCTGTGAATACCATTTTCATATCAAGTAGCATATTTAAATGTCCACCAATATGATTTTCTGAATGATAAACCTCAACTGTGGATCTTAAACTAGTGAAAAAAGGAAATCTTGAGATCATGGACTGAAATGAGATTAATTTAAAATAAATAATTCAGACTTAACCATTTCTTCTGACAAATTTCAACACAAAACACGCTAATAGCACGTGGCTACGATGTGTCACGTGGTAATTTGGGCAGAATGAAAAGCATGCTTATGATTTTTTCTTTCATTAAAGAGAAGTCATTACTTTCGACACAAATCCCTGAACAACAACATTGACAGTGTCCTTTCGACTTCGAATTTTTCAGCGGATTGCTTTCATGAGAATAAGTAGGGAAACAGTAGTTCATTTTAGGTTATGTTTTATAGTAGGCGGCTGGGGATATAAGCAGTCTTCATCTAATGGCTAGAATCTTTAAACTTCTTAAACAGTTTAGCAGTTAGCTCCAGGTTCTTAAACTAAAGACAACAAAACCTAAGCATGCCACAGAGCTGTTGATATTTGAATAAGTACCTGCAATGAGTTTTCAGTGAAGCTTTCTCTCTGTGTTGGCAAAATTCATGCTACCTAAAAATGAACAGAAATGACACTGTGAAGAATGTAGCTTGGGAAATAAGGATGAATATGCATTATTTATCGTCGCTGTTAAACCGAGAATGGGGAACAGCTCTGGTTCACAATGCTACATACAACTGAGTTTCGTCTGATTTTACTATTTCTGCTTGATGGCAAAGGGGTGGGGTGGTGGGTGGGGAAGGAATTGTCAGGGCAACTGAGTGTTCTCTGATAAAATGAAGGCAGGGAAACAAGCTGAATTACTTGAAATTACTTGAATTTTCTTGTCTTAAAACTGAAAGGAAAATGTAGTTACAAATTGAAATCTGCAACTAGAGTCTTTACACCTCAGATTTTAAAGTGAACTGACACAAAATGTTTGAAACTATATGTCAGAAATATAAGCAGCTATGTATTTAGAATATGTTTTGAGTGAGAGGCGGTAGAAAGTAGAGAGAACTATGAAGAGCTGTGGCCTAAAAGGAATAGAATGTGGTTAGAATGATAGGAAATTCCAGGTTTACCAAGGCATTGATAAGCAGCAGGCTTTAAGCTTAAGCAAGTGGTATTTGGGAAAGTAGGATGTGTGAAAGGGGGTTTGTGGTTTTGATTGAACTCATGAGGTATGAAGGGGAATGCCTGATCTAAGAAGATACTGTCTTTCAATAGAAACACTATAAAATGTAACAGAATTAGGAATTAGAGAATCTGATTGCTGTTGGTTTTTTGTTTGTAAAGAAAAAAAGATAATGTCTTGTTTCTTCTCTTTGTTTTCACTACAGAATTGTGTTTCTTGAGTTCTTGTCATCCTTGTATGTAAAATGGGTGCTGGGGGTGGAGGGGTAGAAGAGGAGGGAGTGTGTGTGTTGCGTGCGTGTGTGTATGTGTGTGTGCACAAGATAGGATAGATAAGCTATTTGGTAGAGGGTTTGAACATTTACAAAGTGTTATAATTTTTATTAAAAGAAAAATGTTTTAGGGGTTTGAAAAACTGGACTACCATTTCTCATTGGAACCATTAGTTAAGAAAGCCAGCATGGTTTAACACCACATGAGAACATGAGTAAATTTCTTTTTTCCTCATGCTTTCAAAAGTACACTTGGCAAAATTTTAAAAATAACATTTTTAGAAAAATGTAATAAGCATTCATTTCCAGTCACAATAGGTGATCTTTTGTCATTTTCATAAAAGCAGTTCATTTGCAGTGTGGCTTTTGTGTAGTTAGGGGTTTTTTAAGCTTAAAGAAAGGTATGTAGGTGTAAAAGTTATTCTAAATCTTGACTAGAAAACAAATTGGCTTTAATAAAAATGTCACCTTTTTATTATTGACATTAATTTAAGTAATGGTACCATATATATTTTAAAATACATATTGACTTGAATTGTGAGGCAATAAATAGCTTCTATATGTAATGATCACAGAACTAACCCTTATAATATAGTTTTACTTATTTTGTTTACTCTAAAAATCTATAGCAGAGTTTCTCTATTTTATATTTCATAGTTTAAAAAAAACCCAAATAAAGATGGATTTAAAATTCACTGTGGAAAAGATTATTGAATAACACAATAATAATAAAGCAGGAAGTCCCTTAATAATTAGAAATATTCTACATGGCTTTCGAGCTCTCAAAACCAAGAGTTAGGGCTGACTTTAACATCACTGCTGTCTTGAAGCAGGATACACACATTAGGTATAGTAAGAACATGAATCCAAACTTTTCTTCTGTTTGCACTGATATTCTTCGCTCCCCTCCTTTTCATATTTCTACAACCATGTGTAGGTTTTGTGGGGAATTCTTTTTCCTTGCTTTTTGATTCTGCCTTCCCCCCCCCCTTCATTTTTTTCTTTTTTGGCTAAGTAGAAGAATTGGACTAGTGGTAGCAAACAAAACACACTGTTTGCTCTAGCCAAAGGTCAGTGAGTGAGTGCATTTGCTGCAGTATTGGCAGATTCTGAGAACTAGATCAAGACAAAGATTTTAAAACTATTAAGAAGGTTACAGTGTAACTATTTTGGTACTAGAACCAGTTCATGCTGGCCGAAAAGACAATGGTTTATGGACTTGCATCCATTTTGTATTTTTGTAATATTTGTAAATACGAACTTTTTAAATTGTTGCAGAGATGGTTTCTTTTGTAAGATGTTTTCAACGTTTACATTCAATCCAAGCCTTTGTATATTTTAGAGCTGTGCAACACTTTAAGTCTTGTATTTATTTTTAGTAAAAATGGTGACAGTTTCATTGTGAACCCCTCTCCAAAAAATGTATCAGAAAAGTTTGATTACCTAGAAAGTGTGTATAGAAACCGCAAATAAACGTGACTGCAATTAAATGGTTTGTCTTTTCTGTAAGGAATTGCGTTCCTGGGACTTTACAAACTCAAGTGTTTTCTATAGACCTTGGATCCAACTCATAGAGATCTTAGAGTCCAGAATAGATTGTCCCTTTGGGTTTCTAAGGCTGTAATCACTGACACACAGAGGGAAGGACTGGAGGATTTGAAATGATGACCTAGCACTTCACTATCCAGCACTTAACTCAATGCACTACCACGAGCCTTAATGCTTTCTGTGCAACCAGCAATGAAGAAGGGGAATTATTTTGATAAAAGTGATGTTTTGTACCTAGAGTAGGAACCGACCTCTAGCTGACCCTCTAGTGGGTTTTCAGAGGCAGTTTTAACTCCAGAGGCAGTTAAATCGCCTGGGAGGAGATTGCCTATCCTCCCGCGAAGCAGGTGGTGACCTTGAACTATACGCCATTAGAGGGGAAAGAAAAAAAAAAAAGTAAATTCTGTTATCATTCTTTCCAGTCTATTTTTGTAATCGAGAAGAAAAGGAGTTTAAAAGTTAAGTGTAAGATTCCATGCAGTTCCTTTCTGGGGCAAGGAAAGATGCAAAACTTTGTTTTTAAGTGCTGGCCGACTTAGGATCTGCTAATTACTCCAAAGATGCCGCCTTCTGGAGACGGGCTGATTGGATAAGACTACATAAGTGGATATGGCACCACACAGTCACAGACCTTTTTATTGAATATCAAATTTATGAGCCAGCTCCTGTTCTAAATGCTTTGTATACGTGACTGTCGATAATCTCCGCATTATACCCATTTTACCTATAGGGAAACTGACATACAGATGGGTTAACTGACTTGCCAAGGCCTTAGAGCGCCAAAGTGTTGGAGCTGGGGTTCAAACTCAGGCAGTTAGAGTCTAGGGCCTGTGTCACCTCTCTCCCCTGCAGTACATAAATTGTTGACTAGTGGAAATACTTTCTCCCAAAGAATCCTCTTCCAGCCCCGTGGCCTCAGTCACAGGCTATATGGCTGAGGGATCTCAAAGGGGGTGGGAAGGAGTCGGACCACACTGCGGGATCAAGGTATTTAGAACAAATCACACTTCAAATAACAGAACAAAATGTCAGGACCCCTCGCGCCAACACCGAAATGGTCTCACTACCTCGAATCGCACTTGGGAGCTATATGAAAACTTGGCGCGCAGAGACTTCAGCACAGCCGCAAACCGGTCTTGAGGAAGTTTCACGCGACGATTTAATGCGGATTTCCAATCTCCGCGCCGCCTGGCCCGGGAGTCCGCCACTGGCCTTCTGAATCGCGCGCCCCGCCTCCCACAAAGCAGGGCACCGCCCCAAGGGCTCTCACCCTAGCAACGTCAACAATGGCCATTCAGGCGCCGCTGACTGGCTAATCAGATCGGGGCGCGTCAGTTGGCGTCCTCTGATTGGTCAGCCAGCCTAGCACGCAGGAGCGGCTGCACACGAGCGAAATTTGGTCCTGAGTGCAAAGTATCTGAGTTTTGGGCGAGTGTTTGCGTTCGCGAAGTGTCCCAAGCGGGCATCCGGCGCGAGCGCTCTTTATAAGCCCCAGGCGGCCGTAACTGGTTGCCACTGGTGGAGTTCGGCTGTGGCGCGCCGTTCTCTCCACGCGGTGTCTCCGCGAGCTTCCTGTGGTCGGCTCTGACACAAAAAGTTAGTCTTTTCAGACGCCTTATTTCTCCCCTTCAACTTATTTTTGTCTGAATGCGCCCGTGAGCTGCCAGCCTCGGACCAATTAACAGAAAAAGGCTGAGGTTTGGCGGCTGGGGTCCTGGGGAGGGTCGGCGCGGGTGACAGAGCGTGAGAGTCCTGAGGGGAGTCCGTCATGGGTGACCGAGCCGAGGGGTCCCGGGGAGGGGGGTCCCGGGGAAGGGGGTCCCGGGGACGGGGGTCCCGCGGAGGGGGTCCCGCGGAGGGGGTGGCGTGGCGGCGCGTGAGATTTGAGATTTGGTGGGTTCCTTGCTGAATTTCTGAGGCGAACCCGCCCTCTTCTGTCTTTCGTTGGGGCGGTGAGGAGAGCAGGGCAGAAGTGGAACTCTAGATGCCTAACTGGCTGTGGAGGTGGAGCGGACGGAGGCTGGGAGTGGGGGCGCGCTTGTGAGCGGCTGCGGCTGCGGGCGACGCGGAGGGAGATGCGGGCGCGCTGTACCGGGAAGCGGGCTCTGAGGGGAGCGGGCAGGCGGGGGCCGGCGTTCCGGGCAGGCGGCGTGGCAGGGTCTGTGTGGAACGGTCAGCAGTGGCTCAAATGCTGCTTTGACACGTCCAGCCTTGAGGACACCAGGGGTCGGAAGGGCTGGACTGAGGCGAGGCTGCAAGCGGCTTCGCGTCTGGGCTGTAAAGTAGCTGCCTCAGGAGTGTTATCTGTCCTCGGCTAGCTCGCCGCTCAGCGCTGCATTATGTTCCCTCTAGCAAACTTGGCAGCCTCTAAAGATGGAACGCATTTTTGTTTGTTTGTTTGTTTGTTTTAAGACTATAGTGATTGTTTAGTAAATGAACGTAAAGGACCGGGGGTGGGGGGGG